CTGAGAATTAAAAGAGGCCAGGCACAGCGGCACATCCAATAATCCCAGTTCTCTGGGAAGCTGAGGCAGGAGGATCTCAAGTGAGGCCTCGTTTCCAAATGAAACGTAAGGAAAAGGCTGAGGATGTAGCTCAGTGCAAAAGCCCTTCCTCCATTCCCATTACTGGAGAGCGAGAGAAACAGAAACACAGAAAGAGAGAGAACACTTCCTCGACACTGCTGCAGGTTTTCAGGGAATTAAATTTTGCTAAGAGTTGCACAGATGCCTGCTTGTGCCAAGCCAGAGTTCTAACCTTGAGCCGCACCCACACTTAATACTTTTTTAATGATGAAAGAGGATCTTGCTAAATCGTCCAGGTTGGCCTCAAACTTGCGATCCTCCTGCCTCAGCCTCCCGAGTGTTGGAGCGACAGGCTTGTCTGGATGCTACTTAGCAAAGGACACAGTGTAACCGCTGTTTCCCTGGTGCTGGTGTCCCTCTGTGACTTGTTCCCACCTCGGAATGAGCTGTGGGAGGGACGGTGGGTCCTGTGTGGGGATCCTGGCCTCCAACACCACACCCAGCTCAGCCTGGTGATTTCAGGAGCTTCCCCCTGGGGCGCCAGGGCCGGGACTTTGATCTTGCTTAAACACACCTTGGCCACCTTGGCCAGCTTCGGGTTTTAAATACCTGTGTCCGTAGCTGGCCCCAGGGCCTGGTACTCTGAGCCCCACAGCGCCCAGGTTGCTGTTCCCCTGGGGTCTGTGGTGCCCTCTCATCCCACGTCAGGTTTTTCTTCCCCACCCCGCTGTCCCCGGAGCGCCAGACTCTGCTCAGCCATGTCTCAACCTCAGATTAACAGATGCAAAACTGATCTTTTCTGGCGGCTTAACTCTTCAGCCCTCCATCCTTACAGTCGCCCATGCTAATAAACCTTCTAGTAGAAGCCAGGGGTGGGGACCCACGGCACACGGGAGGCTGAGGCAGGAGGATCTCTGTGAGTTCGAGGCAGCCTGGACCACACAGTGAGGCCCAGGCCAGCCTGAACTACCGGATGAGATGCTGTCTCAAAAAACAAAACAAAACAAATAAATATACAACAACAACAACAAAAACCCCCACTCCTTTCTCGTGTCTTTGTTCTGGAAGCCGTGTGTCTGAGTGTCTGAGGTCAGTGTGTCACAGGCCACTAAGTGCCCTGCAAACTTGCAGAGAAGCTTCTTCTGGCCTTGGGATGCGTCCAACAATTTTCTAGCAGTCTCTGATCTTCCTTGGGGAGCAAACAGACGCTTCACCCAAACCTGTGCCTGTCAGCGGCTGACTTCCCCCGGGGTCTCTTCAGGTGTTTCCCTCTGGTTCTCACAACCTCCAAATCCCCTCTTCCTTCTTTGCAGGAGGCCTGAGGATGGACCCAGGGCTCCACACTGAGCTCCACCCCCGGCCCTTTGTGTTTCTCATTTTGCAACTTGGAGCCAGGCTCTCGCTAAGCTACAATGTTGCCAGACTGAAACTGAGCTCTGGAGCCGCCTGTGTCAGCCTCCCAGTGCTGGGATGAGCGCGGTGGATTTCTTGGGCGGTTGAGGTCACTCCTTGAAATACAGCTCCGATCTGAGGTTTGCTGCCTGCCAGCCTCACCAGCAGGCTCATTTCTGTGACACGGAGGCGTCCACTCTGTGGACTCCTTCTCCTTTTCTATCTCGAAACTTCGCTAAGGCTGGGCTCACACTGGGGACTCTCCTGCCTCAGCCTCTCGGATATATAACCTTTGTCACCGATGGCCTCTGTTCTCCTGGACGAGGGAAAGCTGAGAGCACCTGGCTTCTCAGCCTTGCAACACCCCCCCACATCTGCTGTACACCTGGTCCTGCCCACATAACTCTTGGGTACTTTATTACTTTTATTGACATTGTGCAATTTTCCAAACATGTAGAAATATAGCAATTAGCCGGGTGTGGTGCCACACACCCGTCATCCCATCACTTGGGAGGCTGAGGCAGGAGGGTCACAGGGAGTTAATTCACAACCAACCCTGGGCTTCACAGTGATGTCCAGGCTGCCCTGAACTGCAAAGTGAGACAGTGCGCCAAAACCCAAGCCAAACCAGACCAAAGAAGAAAGAAAGAAACCCAGCAAATGGAACAGGGCCTGCTGGCCGATCGATAGATATTTCACCTTACCTTCCTCTTTTCCAAAGGGAATATTTGGGGAGGACCCAGGGATGCTCCTCCGCTAGGCTCTATCCTCCGATCTTTGTTATTCTTTTATTTTGAGACGTGATCTGGCTAAATTTCCCAGGCTGGACTCAAATTTGTGACCCTCTTCCCACAACCTCTCGAGTAGCCGGGATTACAAGCGTGTGCCGGTGAGCCTGGGGAATACTTTCACTTTTGATATCCCATTGTTTGGATGCATCACATTCTGTTTAGCCAGGGGTGGTGGTGCATGTCTATAATCCCTGTCTAGGAGGCTGAGACAGGAGGGTCCAAATTGTGAGACCAGGGTAATTTTTTTTAATTTATGGGTACCGGGGATCGAACTCACGACCGCCTGCTTGCAAGGCAGGTGCTTATGCCACTGAGCTAAATCCCCAGCCCGACCAGGGTAATTTGGTGATTCAGTGAGTCCATGTCTCAAAACAAAATCAGATGGGAGTGGTTATAAATTTCTGCAATACTAGCACAGGGGGCTGAGGGGTGTCACTTTACTTGGTAGACGTGCAGCCCTGAGTCCCATCAGCGGCTGCCAAAAAATAAATAAAATAAATTTTATTACGGGGGTGACAGAGCTCAGGCCTAAGACATGTGCTTAACGTGTGTGGCCTGTGCGGCCCTGAGTCCCAAGCCCAGGACGGTAGCAGGGGACCGGCCAATGAAGAAACAGTGGCCCGCAGCCACCCCTCGCACCCACACGGGATCCCTCCAACGGTGACAGCTTACATAACCACACGATTTCAAAACCAGAAAATCTGCATTGATGCCATCTGTAAGACTCCATTCACATGTCAACAGTTTCGACCCGGCTTCCCGAGTTTGCACAATCCGTCCTCTGCCTGGGTTTGTGGAGTCGGTGCTGGGATGATACAGCTTCCGAGGACCGTTTTGAAGAGGAAATTGAGCTGCCTTTCAGGAGAAACACACTGTGAACCACTAATGTTGGCATTGCTACATGCCACTGTTCCGCGCCAAGGAGGTTGCTTTCTCCGGGGAGTCAAGCTTACCGCCTGGTGCTTGCCTGGCAGGCGCTTACGAGGCTGAGCTAAATCCCTCGTCCCTGTTGTGCTTTACGCTTGTGTTGGGCACGAGGGCACTGTGCTGATGACCCGAGCGGTCGGGAGGCTGAGACAGGAGGATCTCGGAGCTCAAGGTCAGCCTGGGCTACACAGAGAGATCCTGATTCAAAAGACCAGCCAACTAACTAAAATAAAGTAAAAGCACTTGGCTTTCTAAAAACAAGAGTAAATGTTTGCAGTATGTAACAGTTACATTCCTGTAAGCCTACTTTTTAAAAAAATTCGGAGACAGCTCTCACCCTTTGCACCCCGCCCCATCTTTGTGAGTAGCTGGGGTAACAGACAAGCCATCGCCACATCAGGCTTGCTGAAAGGTTCTGTCCCACAAAGACATGAAGGGGCCGCCAGCCCCAGTGAGCCTCTCCATCTATTGAGAATTGATGGGGAGTGGTTACCGTTTCCATGGCAACCTGATTTCCAATGCAGATGCCTGCTAAGGAAACACTGTATCTTCCCAAGAGCCACCCAGGTGGGCGTGGAGGTGCACGCCTGTTCACAGCACAGCCCTGCCCTGTGGAAGGCTGAAGCAATAAGACCCCAAGCTCTGGGTCAAACTGAGGAATGGGGTGATGTACCAAGGCCCTGCCTCAAAAAGTAAAAAATGAAAAAAGAAAGCGCTCCGGGCAAAGGCTCCAGGTTCAGTGCAGACAACCACCAGGTCTCAGGTGCCATTATTACTCCCATTTTACAGATGGACAAAGTAAGGCTTAGGAGTGCTGCAGCCTGCCTCGTGCTAGTGCTTGCTGGTTGTCTGATCTAGGAAAACTGACCCAAGGAAAATGAAACGACGTCCCCAGACCTTTGTAATCTTTTGGGACAGTATCTCTCTAAGTCACTAAATTGCCCACGTTCCATTTGAAGTTGCAGTCTTTTGGCTTTAGCCTCCTGGGATTACAGGCATGTGTGCCACCACATCCAACTTCAAATTCATTTCTTTTTATTAATTTTTTGGAGGTTTTTCTTTGAGACAGGGTCTTGCTATGTAATTCAGGCTGGCCTCGAACTGAAAACGATCCTCCTGCCTCAGCCTCCCAAGTGCTACAATTACCAGTGTGCAACACGCCCCCCACCCCACCCCGCAATCTGCTTTTGAGGCAGAGTCTCCTTAAGTCTCTGTGTTACCCAGGGTGGACTAAACTTGAGACCCTCCTGCCTCAGCCTCCCAGAGTCCTGGGATAACGGGTGTGTGGTGCCGTCACCAGCAGGCACACAGTCTGGCTGTGATGTCATCAGAGAGATGACATCAGTCCAGTCCAGCACTGGGAGGGGGAATGACGGGAAAGTTTACTTGGCTGAGAGCTCCAGGGGCTAAGCCCAGCCCATGGCAGCGGCTGTCCAGCTGCAGACACCGTCAGCAGAAGCAGCCAGGGATCCTCCTGCCTCAGTCCCTGAGCGCTGGGGTTATAGGCGTGCGCCAATTCGCCTGGGCAAAATTAGTAATTCTAGTGCTCAGGAGGATCGCTCTGAGTTCAAGGCCAGGCTGGGCTACATAGTAAGACATTGCCTAAAACATAGTAACACAGTGCGGAAAAGCCTGCTCCCTGCCAGCCTGGCTGCAGCCTACCAGCACCTGTCAAATGGGGACAGTGACAGTGTGGCTCCTCGTCAAAGCAATGGGCACCCCAACTCCTACCCCTCCAGGGAGCGCCCCAGGCTGGTGATCTCCTCCCGCGCAGCTCCGCCTCACCTGAGCGCCAGGCCAGCGTCCCTGGGCAGCACCTGCCAGGCCGCCCTGGTGCAATCGGGGAGCCGCCCGGCAGGTTTTTCCTCTCACCCAGCCGCCGTGCTCTCCCCGCCTTGCGGGGCTGGACCTCCTCCGGGTACCCCAGCCCTGCCGGCCGGGCCGGGCCAAGCGCAGTGAGCCGAGGCCGGCGCCACGCGAGGACCATGAGAAGCATCGTGGGCTACCAGAGCTCCGAGGTGGACTGGTGTGAGAGCAACTTCCTGCACTCGCCCGTGGTGGCCGAGTTCTACAACACGGTGAGTGAGCTGGGGCAGGCGGGTGCTGCTGCTGCTGCTGCTGCTGCCGGGGAAAGGGCTGCAGGGAGCTCGGGCTGCGGGTGCAAGCCCTGGCCCCTCCAAAGCTTGCTGATCAGTCCCGCTGTCGGGGGTGGGGGCGCACTCATGGGTCACACAAGGACGGTTGCTTCTCATTCATTCATTCGTCTGTATCTGACACCGAGCGCCGTGACAGTGTTTGGACCCGAGGCAGTGGCTGGTGGTCGGGTCCCTGTGTGGAGGATATACCTATGCAACCCGGGGAGATGGTGATGCAATAGGTGGCGCACTTGCAGCCTAGCGGAGACCCCGAGGAGGTCTTTGAGTCAATATCAGCAGACCAAAGGTGGCTTCCTGGAGAGCTGACTGTGTGTGTGTCTTGTTCCCAGCTAGACTCCCAGCCTGGGGTGACTGACTCGGCCCAGTTCTCCTTGGATAATCCCCCTCCCCTTTTAAAAAACTTGAGATGGGGCTTCCCTGCTTGCTTTATCTATTATTTAATAATTATTTAACCATACTGGGGATTGAGCCCACGGATTTACACATGCCAGGCAGGTGCTTTACCACGGAGCCACGTTGCCAGCCAGTATTCCCAGGTGTCTGTATAATCCGGGCTGGCTTCAAGCTTGTGATCCGCCTGCCTCGGCCTCCCCAGCGCTGAGAGAGTCAGAGGTGGTGGTGGTGTGCACCTGTGATCCCAGCTGCTCCAGAGGCTGAGGCCGGAGGGCATGCAGCTCAAAGACAGCCTGGGAGAGTTCATGACTTAGCAAGGACTTGAAATGAAGTGGAGAAAGGGGAAAGGATGTGGCTCGGCGCAAAGCCTGCAGTGTGGGAAGGGGGCTGCTCTGACCCTGTGACCTGTGACCTGTGACCTGTGACCTGTGACCTAGCGGCTCCTGGAGCTTCATGAGCGAGAGAGACCCCGGGCCCCTCATGTCTCCCTGGAACTTGCTCCTCTTGGCTGGAGATGCCGTTTCTGGTCCCCAGAAGTCGTCATGGGAGGCTGAGGCGAGAGGCTTCTCTCCGGATTCCCCGGAAGCCCCGTGGTCCGGAGCGGACCCAACAGAGTGGCCTCTCGGGAGCAGCCTGGCCAGGTCCACTCTCACGCACACAGTCACCGCAAATCCCCGGGACCCTCCTTCCGCTCGGGTGAGATGCAGCGCTTGGGTAATCTACGTAGACGCTTTCAGATCCCACACTTGAATAAATCAGGTGTGGGAAAGAGATTTCCTGTGTTAGGAAAGAGATTTTACATCATCCCCATAAGAACCTGCTTCCAGGCATCGATCCAGTGTTTCATAAATCAATCTTTATCTTCCATGATATGAATGGACAATCTTTCTTATTTTGTTTGTTTGTTTGTGACAGGGTCTCACTGTGTAGCCCAGGCTGGCCTCAAACTCACAGCGATCCTCCTGCCTCAGCCTCCCCAGTGCTGGGATGACAGGTGTGCACCACCCCGGCTGGCTAGATTTGGATTTTTCTTATCAAAAAGGCTCTGCCTGGGCCTGGTGGTGCTGTTTATAATGTTAAATTCTTCCCAAAATCTTAGGATTTGGGGAAATTGAGCAGGAAATTGATCACCATGAGTTTGAGACCAGTGTGGGCAAGTTAATAATTTAGCAGGGCCCTGATTAGATAACAAACAAAAAGAGCTGGGGAGGTAGCTCAGTGCAAGGGCCCTAGGGTTGAACCCCCTTACCACAGAAGAAGAAAAGGGGGGCTTGGAGGCTAGCTCAGTGGTGAGTGCTTGCCTTGCAAGTGTGAGGTCCTGGCTACCATCCCCAGCAACACGAGAGAGAGAAAAAGGAAAAAAAGAGAAAGAAAAAAAGAAAGAAGACTGCAAGCATGGCGGTGAATGTCTGTGACCCCAACACTGGGGAGGCTGAGGCAGGAAGGTCGCCTTGAGATGGAAGCCGGCCGAGGCTACACATTGGGATACTGTCTCAAAAAAAAAAAAAAAAATGCTGAAAATAGAAGGTTTGGTTCCAAGCAGGCCAGGTGTGGAGCGACCGAACCTCTGAGTGTGGGTCACACTGTTTGAGAAGCCGTGGACTGTCTGGGACCAAGCTGGCCAGTCTTTTTGGCTTTAGGGCACAGGCTGCAATTTTCAACCCCGCACCCGCCCAGCGGCCTGGGGCGATATGCAAATGAGTGGGCGTGGCCTCGTGCTCACGGATGCCCGGATGCCCGTGTGACTTTCCATCCTTTTCCAGACGTAAAGGTCGATTTTTTAAGAAAAGCTGTTTGCAATGTGACTCATTGTAGCGTGCAGGTCTTATAACCCAAGGCACAGGGTTCCACCTCGGCCCTGTGCCGTGGTGGGTCAGCCCTACTCTGTTTATGCATTTAAGCAAAAAATCAAATAGCAAACAAGGCGCTGTTGGTTCTGCCTCAAATCTCTGGTTAGCAGCGAATCCAAGAGGCAGGCGCTGTGGTGCGCATGCGCAGTCTGGGCCGCTTGGGGAACTGAGCCGGGAGGATCGCAAGTTCAAGGTCAGCCTGGGCAATTTAAGCAGAGACCTTGTCTCTAAATAAAAATAAAAAAGGGTGTAGCCCAGAGAGAAAACTCCCTGGGCTGGATCTCCAGCACTGCAATCCAGGGAGAGCGATAGGGAGAGCGCTGGTGACGGGTCGCAGCAGAACACCTGCCCTGCCCTGCCCTGCATGCATGAGGTCCTGTTCAAACTCCAGCACCACAGATAATAAAGAGTTTAAATTGGCGTGGCTCAGTAGCACACACCTCGATTCGCTACTGTTCCAGAGGCTGAGGCGGTAGGACTGCGGGAGCCCGGGCGGGAGTTTAAGGCCAGTCTGGACGACACATGCAGATCTTGTTTCAAAGAGTGAAATAAAAGCCAGGTGTGGGGGCGCACGCCTGTCATCCGGCACTCTGGAAGCTGAGGCAGGAGGGTCGCTGCAAGTTTGAAACCAGCCTGGGCTACATAGTGAGGTCCTGTCTCAAAAGTCAACCCCCCCCAAAGCTCCAAATAAAATAAAATTTAAAATGAGTTTATTAAAAGCTGGGCATGGTGGCGTGTGCCTGTAAATCCAGCACTCCGGGGGCTGAGGCAGGAGGATCGTTTTGAGTTCGAATTTAGCCTGGGCTACAAAATGAGCTGAACTGCATAGTGAGAGCCTGTCTCAGAAAATAGGCAAAGTAAATAAAAATAAAATGAGTTTATTTGTAGCAAATATAACACACTTATACAGCTTACTTCCTGTGGGCATTCTGGTGCTTTGATTTGTGTCAGGAGATGAATTTACAAACGATGCTTTTCCCCCATTTAGTCATTGTAACTTTAGGGATTTTTTACCAAATGAATCATCCCATAGATGACAAGAATCAGGAACAAAGTCATCCCTGAATCACGTTTCAATGAACGAAATCAGCAAACAAATAAACCGGAGACCACACTGTAGGCATCTTGTGTGTGGCCGGGCATATTCTGATAAAATACTACACAGCTGTGCACAGGCCCGCTTTGCTCGGGGCGTGAATGAAAGCTGAAACATGCAGCAGAAAACATCTAAACATCTGTTCCTGCTGGTTTTGTCATGACCCGCTTAGGCTTAGGCGTGAATCATGGCTCACAGCTGAAAACTGTTGTGTCCTCAAAGCTGTTGGGAGGGAGTTGTGAGTCGGGTTAGGGTGGCAGAGCCCAGGCCTCCATGTCAGGGTTAAGGCAAAGGGCAGCACCCAACCGATGGGAAGTTGCATGGAGAAGGGCACCTGGGGTTGGGTTTTGAAAGTTGAATAGGAGTTCAAGGACTGGGTAGAAGTCCAGGCAAAGAGAACAGAAGAAGGGGAACAGATACATTAAAAGTCTCTGAAGTACAAGAGGAGTTGGTCAGACTGAAAAAGGACAAAGATGCTTTTCTGGCTGGAAAGTGGTGAGAATCAGACACATTCCAAATACTGGGTCGGAGGATTTGAAACGTATTGCGTTTTTATTGATGTGTCGATTTGTTCCACAAAGGTGCTGTACGCCAGCCCGTGCTGGGTGATCCTGGGGTCCCGGAGAGGCTCTGGGCTCCTCAGCTGTGGGAGTTTAGAATTCCACGTGGGTTCTTGTGGCCTCAGAGGGAGGCAGAAGCAGGATGGTCTCCATCCTGGCAGTGGGGTGAGGTCTCTGCTTACTAGATGTGAAGGTGGCCCCGCTGGGGACACCAGGTCTCCAAGGCCAGGGGGCCAGGGGGAATGGCAGGCGTCAAGGCTTTGGGGTACGGAGCAGAGGCTGTCGGGAAACAGCTGGTGGCTGGAAGCCAGAGCCTGGGTGCTGCCGAATGGTGGTGGTGGGGAGCCCTGCACATGCGCGGTGAGGTCAGCCTGGGGGGGGGGGGAGCTGGCAGAGCCCGGAGAGTTCAAGAGGTCAAGGGCGGGGCAGCAGGTCATCCCGGTTCACAGCTCCTGCCCCAGCCTGGGTCCCGGTTTCCTCTGGAGCTGCTGGCAACTGCGGGGAGTTTCCAGGAGTGCCCATGGAAGTTTCAAGGCTCCCCAGAGGCCGCTAGGATGCTACATTTCTTCTTGGTTTCCTCGGAGGGTGCAGAATAGGGGCCCTGAGGACCAGGAGCCTGAGGGGGGCGGGAGTACTGCAGAGGCAGGGAAGGCTGAGGTGCCACCTCTGCAGGGTGGCACTTGCTTTGAGTTTTTATTTGTTTTTTTGAGACAGGGTCTCGCTAAGTAGCCCAGGCTGGCCCCGAACTCCTAGCGATCCTCCTGCCTCAGCCTCCCAAGAGCTGGATGACAGGCGTGCAGCACCACTCCTGGCCCCAGCCCAGTCCTGACAGGTCTTTCTTGTTTGCTTTTCTCCTCTGGAAGAACCGGGGGCCTCACGAGGTGGGGGGGGGGCGAGTTGGCAGGATAAGAATCTGGGGGCATTGCTCATCCAGCCACAGCTGACAGACAACACACCGTGTGCCAGGCACTGTTCTGAGCTCCGGGACACAGCGGCAATGACAGAAACTCCTGCCCAGGGGGA